ATGTGTCTTTGGCAGAGCATGCCTCAAGAGATCATTGACACCCATGAACTGCAAACTATCACATTAGATTACAGACGGGAATGTCAACAGGATGACGTGGTGGATTCACTTACCAGTCCAGAACCAGTGGAGGGTACTGAAAAAGTTTCAGCGATTCACGGAACAAATGGGTCTGCAGCTGCAAGAGAAGATAAGCAGGGCTGCCGTCAGTTTTTGCATCTGTTGAGATTGTCTAGTGATGGACAGGAAATAAATCGAGGCCGTACTGAGTGGAGAAAGAAACCTGCGAGATGAGTCAATAATTTAGTTTTTTGTAGTTTTTCTTGCTTTCATCAATTTTCAGGATACCTTTCTGTTACTTTTGGTGTTTTTTATTTTGCTTCAAATTCAGTTCTGATATGGTGTGTATCGTGGGGTGGAGCTCAAAATCATTGATTAGACATTGCAAAAGAAAGATTTGGTTGAGAATGATCTTTGATTCACCCGCATCAAATCTATGAGTCTATTGTACTTGAACATTTTTCTTTTGTTGTTTCCCTGTTAACTTTAGTTCATGAATATGTACCAAACAGTATTTGAAATTATGTTGTGAATCCCTCCTTGTACCAGTTTAAGTCATAAATTTCAAGTAGGTTTGCAATTTATGCCCTAATTGATGCAGGAAGAAGTAGATGATATCTTAGCTGCATCTTCCCCCGTGGTGATTTTGAAATAGTCGTGTCTTGGATCTCAAATTCTTGTGTTATCAAGCTACTGAAGCAGATTTCTCATTTAGTTCGTTGGTGTCTATAGAATTCCTTGGGCAGTTTTTTGCCCTGATTTGTGAATCCATCCATATATGGTTTTATAGGTTGCAAACTGGCAAGGATTAGGGATGTTTTGTAGCACGCGACCTTTGCAACACAAGGCCTTTAACTGCTGAATTGAACGTGGCGATCCACCTTAAAGATACCATATTAGTAATTAGGAGGGATCTAAATCTTCCAATTTGATTCAAATTGACCAAGATTCATGTACTACAAAATTTGGCAGAGTTTTCTCAATGTTCATCTGCTTCCAACCTGGAGAATTACTAGGCAGTAAACTAGGATTTAAGAACTCAGCACCACTTCTACAGATCAAAATCAAAGTCAATAATGCACACATCCAAATGGCTTGATTCGAGCAAAATGAAGCAACCAAATGTCAGGAATAAACATTTCTTTTACAGGTAGACAAAGGGCTACAAAATGGTGCTCATAAGCCCATTATATAATGGTCTATTCACTTATCACCACCCATCCTTGCACTACAATTAAAATTACAATCGCATACATTTCAGAACCCTCAGATTAATCCATGAAAATAACCCAAAACTAGTGAAATTTAACTGATTTTATACTAGTGCTAAAAGTGAGAAATAGATGCTGAGAGGATGTTCAATAGAGAATTAGTAAAGCCCTCACCGCAGCTTCTTTCACACAAGAAAGTGGCAAAGGCAGCACGGATTACAAAATATCATATTCATTCAAGATGTTGGGGGCCAACCTCTGATCCAATCTGTTATAGTCGCAACATTTCTAGTGATATCCTCAACATTATCACTCTTTACAGCTATAATGATATCCTCTGCATAACTCTCTTTTGCCTCCTCCAGCAAAACTTGAAAGATTTCACACTCTATATTGTTTGAAAGCTTGGCCCCCTCATAGCCTCTGCCACAAAAGGAGCTTTTGAGACAACAAAACCAACTAAATGAAGTAGAAACTCAAGCATAGTGACGGAACATTGGTACCTCTTACTCAAGCGATCATACAACACTGAGTTGTCGGTTTGAAGCACCACCACAAGATCAAACCATCGTTCAGGAAAGAAATCACAACCATGATAATCTACAATGTTTCCCCCTTCATCCATCACATCCTCAAGCTCATCACACACCTGCAGAATCAACACAGTAAAGTCAAATGCACACTATTAATGTACCATAAGTTGAAATTTTCCAAATAGCATTTTTCAGATCTCCAAAATACACTTTCTTTCAGTTAAAACATGGACTTATTCATTGTTGAAAAACCAACAAAAGACAGAAATAGACTCCTAATACAGTGAGAGAGTCCACGATAAAATAAGGCAGCTACTGAAGGAACAAAGACAAACTACAAGCAAAAAGGCAAGAAACTAAGCAGTAACTGAAAGCAACAAACAAACCCATAAATTGAAACAACAAAGCATAGTAAATGAGGTGCAGAATCAAAAGTCTTAAGACTCCCTTTGATTGCCACTTGTGATTTGCTATTGGCAAATTTTCTTTCACATGCCTTACCATAAAGTAAATGCAAAAGCCGAATCACCGAATTCATGCAAATAATAATAATAATAATAATAGGAAACATAAAAGACTAACATGAATTCAAAGATTCAAAATTAGGAAATAGCAAAAGTCACAAACAAATGCCACCTAAGATTTCAAGTTCAAACACAGCTTATTGCTTAAATTAAATCTCCAAAAAGTGCTCGTAATTCAAATTTCTTCTTACCCCAAAGTAAATAACTTCCTAATATCCTAAAAATTCTAAATTAATAAACTCAAATAATAATAATGAAGAAGAAGAAGTTATATTGTTAGTGAAGTTACGAGGTCTTCGTTGATGATGTGGCACTGGAGGTCGTCGTCCCAGCCGTCGTGCAAGTTTTTCTCCCTGACCAAATCCCCAATATTGATGTGGCGGAGCTGGGTGGCCTCTGCGAGGGCGGAAGACGTCGTGGTTTTGCCTGTTCCGGGCGTGCCCGTCACCAAAATGTTGGGCCTCTTCCTCTTGTTGTTGTCGGGAGCCATAGAGGAATGCTTTTAACCTTATTCTGTCCGGAGCTGTCAACTTTGAATTCAGGGGCTTATTCCAGGTAAAGATAATTATACAGTGCCCTTTTTCCTGTGTTTGGATGAAACGATTGGGCCCGTCATATAGGTTTTCAACACTTCTTCTGCCCTGGTGCCGTGGACTTCGCACACAACAAAAGCCCGCTTTATCTCTGCAACAGTTTTCAACACAAATTTTTTTTTTAAAAAAAAATCAGAAACCCAATTTTATCTCTCCAAATAGATTGGATTCCTTAATTTTTAAAAATTTAAAATTTCCAATTTTAAATATTTATTTTAGTTTATTTACTTAAATTTGTCAATAAAATAACTTTTTATTTTATGAAAAATAAAAATTAATTAAAAAGATACAAGTCCATTTAGTTTATGATTTTTTTTTGAATATTTTAACCAAAACTTTGTTATTTGATAAGATACCCAAACCCTATAAACATCATATTAAATTTTTTTAATTGTTATCCGTACTGAATTTAAAAATTTTAAACACTACCAATTAAATACTCGTACTCATTAAACTCTAATTAAAATAAATTTTTATGTATATTATTAATAAAAATTAAATTAATAAATTGAAATTAGTATGTAGAAAAATAAATTAAAACTTAAAATCATATTTAGTAAATATGATATTAATTATAGAAAATTTATAAATAACAAACTAAAATTTAATATTTAAAATTTATTATTTTATAATAAGATTTCAGTAAACTTTGTTCGAATTTATGATAAGCAGTAATTTGATTACTCGAATCTTATTATAGAATAATTTAATCTTACTTAATTAAGCCGAGTAATGCAAAATGCTTAATTACAAAGATACCCATTGACATGACTTCAGTTTTTTAAATTATTAAATATGTAATTCGAACCAAACACTATAATTCCAACGGGCCAACCATTAATCCTTTGTACTTGGAAAGTGTTGAATGTCAGCCCCTGCTCCTGGCGGGGAGATGTGAGGTAGACATTCTACCAGTTTACGAATTTTAGCCACCAGAAGATCCATAAAAATGGGAAATATTTAGTCTCGTGTGGTCATAGCCATCAATGAAGGTGCTTTAAATTCCCATCCACCACAATCAGGACAATCTAATACTACACCCCTAATGGGTCGTCAAGTCAGAGTGTCGACTAGCACCATCACCTACCATGCGTGGGCAACCGCAAATTATTTGATGTGCTTTCTAAAAGAATCCACCTCCCTATTGCATAATGCAGTAATTATACCACCCCAAATCAGGTGAAGGAACACATCCCATTTGCGTTATAAAACACTCCCCATGCAAAAGACAGACACAGAGGCAATCGTCAGTATGGAGAGGAAAATCGCTACGGCAACATTTGTTCTCCTTCTCTTTCTTATGGCCACTCTTCTGACTCAAGGAGGGAGGCACATGCCAGCCGCAGACCAAGTTTACGGTCCCCAAGATCTCCTTGGTCCTTGGGGCCTTCCTCTTGTTGGTTGGTCATTTCCCTTTTTTGGGCTACCTTGGCTTGAAGGATGCTGTGGCGGTCTGCTGCCTTTCCAAGGGGCACCGCCGCGTAACGCCAGCGGACAGCAACCAGAAGTACCTAAGGGTGCTGGCAATGCCATTGACCAATCCCCATGACCAGAGAGGGAGTTCATGCCCGCCACTCACTGTAGACGTTAATAAAGAGTGTCAAGCATGGGGCTTGACCTGTTATGGTCTATTGTAACACGTAGTTGAGCAATGGCTATCTGTAGTGCCTTGGCACTTTGAATAAATGGAAGTACACAACCTTCCCTTGTTCCTATTTGCCCATATAATCATCTCTGAAGACAAATTCATTTTCATGGAGTAATACGCAAAGCAGGCTCTCCAATGAGTGGCACCAACAAGAAATAAAAATGCTATCCGAATATGTAATCGATTTTAACCAAACCAACTTCCCCTCCTAAACTAATTCCGCCTAACCCAGGCTAAGGCTGATAATAGCCTGTTTCCAAGGCTGGAATGGGGTTGTGTCAGGATTAAGACTGCAGTTCAACATTGGGAACTTTGGCTACGACCTTTTAACCCAACCCAACTTGCACCTTTTCCAGCAAAACAGGCACATGACCAAATTTAATCTGTTCATGAACCATAATCACACCGTGCAACACTAAGGGACCAAACACTGGTAACCTAAATCATTGATTTTAATTTCTTTTACTGCACATAAACAAGTTGTCATCAAGTCCAACTTTAATTTCCAAATAACAATGAAGCTGAGCTGAACAAGCTATCAACTGGCAGATTTGCATGCATCTAAGCAAGCAAAGAAAACCTGCTCAGATAACTTATCAAAAAGATGGTTCACCAAAACATAGTTTGATACAGGACATGTCAGAAATTCCACAATACAAAAGATAGGTGCACTGACACGCCAAATCCATTTCTCCAATCTCTCTTTTTAGGGGCAGTTTGAATTATCCCTGAAATAAAACAACAATCATCAATATAACTTAATTTGAAAGAATAAATCATAGCATTTACAAAGCTGCCACATATCTACAAAACTGAGTTGAATAAACATCTTCAATCCTCGTACAATTATTAAATAACGAACATCTTTAGAAACATATCAGACATGGTTCTACATGAAATCCTCATTCATAAGAAAACCAGCATCCATAAGGAAGATATGCACATCTTCCGTAACGATTATTCACATTCACAGTACAAAGACAACTCACTTTCACAACCTATGATTTCATTTTCTTTCCCTAAAGGAAATTTAAACCTCAAAAAAGGATATAGAATAATATACTTACATTACTAGTTGGACATAAAGCTCATATTCAACTGGCTGAAGGAAGGAAGACCCTAATTAGTTCCTTCACAGTGACTCTTTTCCTGCAAGTAGGGCACTTTCCCTGGGCAGCTATTGCAGCTTTAATGCATGCCTTGCAGAAAATGTGCCCACACCTTGTTGACATCTCCTCCACTAATGGACCCATGCAAATTGGACAATTGAAGGTTGGTTCCTTTGGAGGTGGCTGAGGCTTTATAATTTCCTCAACCTGCCAGTGAAATAGTTAGTGAGTCCTAAATCTTCATAAATTTAACAAAAAACCAGAGATAATAAAGAACTAAGAAAAGAACTCTTACCATAGTCTGTGCTGTGCTTTCCAAATTGATATAATGATCACAATTGATAACTGTCTGGCTTGGAGGAAGTCTTCTGCGCCTGTTGTGATTATTATTAGTTGACCTAGCCAGCTGGCCTGGAAGGAAGAAAGATGTGAGCAACCCCAGCTTCACAACACGAAGTATCTAAGGTTCAATTATGACAAATAAATGAAGTAAACAAAAATCACCAGTCTCTAAGTTGGTTGACCCATGTACTCACAAAAATAACATACAATTGGATGGGACCAGAGAGTTGCCAAGCAACGACATCTACCTCAGTTGAAGTCAGATATATTTTGTTCCAGTGATTGAGCAATCGGCAAACATTAAACCCCACATCAGAAGTGAATTATATATATACTAAAATCCCTAAACAAACTAGTATAGATCATAGAGTTCTCAAACAATAGCAGACTACGAGAGTTTACTGCTTAGTGCTCACTAATTCTTAATACAAAGAAACCACACCAAATAGATATTCTCTGAAAAATCAACATCACAGTACCTCCATATTTATTTCCATCTTAATGCAATTCTACTACTTAAAGAAGTCTTTGATCCATCAGCTTCTTCTAATCAATTGCAAGGCATATAAGGTCACCTAGATGTTCATTTCGATTATATTGTGTTTACTTAAGTAGAGTGTTAATTGTTTTGCTTCTCTCCTTTCAGAAAATTCGACTGCAGCAAATGTATCCAGGTTCCTTTCCTATTCCTGTTAATCATTGGATTTTTTTTCCTTATAATTCAACAATTTAAGAAGTAGGCTAATTTGTCCCAAGGACTGGTCCCTGAACCTCACAAAAATAATGAAGTGCCTGAATCAAGACATGCATAAAAATCTAAAGGACATGTACCTTCAGATATGTTAATACAGACTCAACAATGTAATTACCAAACCTTTTCGAATGGCATCTTTTGACCTCATGAAGATGGATATATGAATTACAAGGTACTGCATCAAAATAAGCTTCTACTATATAACATGCATATGACAGTGAGGGTAGCACATGAAGGAAAAGAAAACATCATAAATGATATTCCCTCATAAAATTTAACTACCTGAATCTAAATCAACTAGAACAGTCCTTCCACGGCTCCTCCTTGAATTGTTTTTAGCCTGACATAAAATCTGAAGAAAATTAATGACAGTCATCATAAGGAAAATGAATCCATAAAAACAGATTTCATGCATAGTTAAAGTGAATGGAAAAATAAATGAACAAGTAAATCATACCTCCGCAAAAGCTCTAGCAGAAGATTCAATTACATCGTCATCAAAAGCCTCAACATCAATAGTAGCAGGCGGTACAGGCGGCAAGGGCTGGCTAGACAATTCCTCAGACCCAGCCTGTTGCGAAGTACCCTCCTGTTCCCGGATTTCACTAGGTGGAACATTTAGATCCAGCACTGCCTTCCTCCGTCTATACCCTCTAAGAGAAGGTCCCCTCACTTCAAGAGTGCTCATGCTCTTGATTTTGCTATACTCTATCCAAGTATCGCAGCCTCAATATAACCTAAAAGATGCTCAAAAGAGAACTTCCTTAGCTATGCTACGGATGAATTCAACATCAAGTTTTCACTAGAAGAAATCAAATTTTTTACTTGATTTGAGAGCCAAAAATACAATTGGTTTCACCAAAAAAAAAAAACCTCTGGAAATTCTAAGGAACTTGCCAATTACATTATACATAAAAAGTTCAATATAAATAGTAAAACCTGAAAAGCAAACAAACCTCATGAAATTTAGTACTAGAAAACAAGTCGAATAATGCACAGTCAGACACTTATACTTTTATTCATAGAGAGAGAGAGAGAGGAATAGCAATAATAATAAATAATTTAGTATAAAAAAAGAAGACCTTTTTCCCAAAGTTCGCTTCCCTCAAAGGCGAAACAGCAACAAATAAGATGAGCTATTAATCCACATATTCCGGTTCGATTTTGATTATTAAAATCTCTTTTAATAAAAAAAAAACCTAAGGGAAAATGAAAAATCACTTAACTTTGAATCATTTTTCTAAAAAGGGCATAAATTTAATCAAAATTCAAACTAGAAATACTTGCAAGACAAATATTACACAAACAATCAACTATGATCAACCGATAATCTAATAAAAATTTTCAAATTAAAGAACTTTATATCGAATTTCACTTAAGGACACACACCAATCGAATAGATGAAATGTAGCCCAAAAAAATCCCCAAACCTTAAAAACAGAAGATCGATCAGAGCACCAATACACTGAATCAACACGAGATGAGAAAAATAAGAACAAATATGAGAGACAGAAAAAGAGAGTATCAGAGATCAAAAATCGTACCTTAAAATCCTGGCTAATCGAATCGCTTCGAGAATTCAAAACCTCCCCCAAGAAAAAGAAGACAAGAAAATCAAAGAAAAGTAGCGAAGTCAAGAAGAAACCTTTGGCCAATCTTCCCTGTCTAGGGTTTTTAAACAGGAAGAGATTTCAACTTACCATGAGGAGATGGAGAGAAACTACGACGCACCAACAAGGAAATTGCTTGCTCTCGTTCACACGCGCGGTCGGTGTGAGCTTGACAGCCTCCACGTGGCGTGATCTCTTTCGATTCGTAAACGTGTTACGTATTGGCTTACATATTGAGCGCGTGGCGCTACCAAATTTGTTAGTGCGCGCGTCAGTAAATTTTGAGACTGCAATTTTTTTCTTGTTATGTCCATCTCCTAATGAGCGTACGAGAGTTATAGTCATAATTCCATATCTTGTTATTTTTTTTGGTAAATTAAGATAAATTAATTTTATAAAATAATTTATTTTTAAAGTTTAAAGTATTTCTATGTTTATCTTTTTGGTAATAATTTGTATATGGTAGTATAATCTCCATATTTTGGCGATTGATATAAATTAAACTTAAATTCAAATATTCTCATCCATTCACCATTCATCATTCACCAATTGATTTGAATATGCATCAAATAGTAATGAGAAGTAAAAAATAAATAAAAATATTTTAGTATCCCAACGCTTTTTTTCATGCAAAGAAAATTGTAACTACTAACTTTCATCCTCAAATTATATGACTTGATTACTCAAATTAAAGTTGGAAAAAAAAATTAGTGCAACAGCAATTTTTTTAACTACTTAATAATAATAATTAATGCTAATCATTAGTGTAGACCTTAGTTTTCTTTCAAACCAAACCCAAGTCCAAGCTTTTCCTTGTGTTTTTCACCTCTTCTCGATTTTGGAAAAGGGATGATTCAATAAGTACACAAGCATTTGGAAAGTTACCTACCAAAAGATTGCAACCGATAGTTCTTGTTGATGTATTTTTAAATAAAAATTATATCTTTTCAAATGAAAAGTTCTAAATGAATAGTTATTTTTTTTTCATACAAAAAGTTATGACTAGTAAGTCACATTAATTAAAAAATTATTTCACATAATATGACATAATGTGACTATTAAATTGTAGGTGGATTTTCATGTGAAAAGTTATATTTCTTAGTACAGTGACATACTAAAAAAATACTTATAATTCAAAAGTTATGAGATAATTGAAAAACACTACAACTCAAAAGGTTGCATATGAAAAGTCATCTTTTCATATTGTAACTCAAAGATTATATCTTATAGTATGAATAGTTATCCTTTCATAAGGTAATTATTGAAAAAATAGTTTTATCTAAATGTTGTATCTTGTAACATGCAAAGTTGTCTTTAAAACATAGATGTGCCAAGATAAAAGGGTTGTGTCTTTAAAAAAAAGACACTTGCAAATTTATATATAGGACTTATTACCAACCATTTTAAAAACCAAAAAACAAACAAAATAAGAGCAAAAAATCAAAATCAAGAAAAGTGAAGAAAATAGCAATGGATCGGTTTTAAAATCAAAAAACCCCATTTTGCATTAACAAAGTGAAGACACATATATAAATATATATATATATATATATAATATGGTGTAATAACCCATATAAACCTAAACTTGCTTGGAATGCAAGTAAAGTAAATAGTATAAAATGAAGTATTCTAATTCTATACTTCCTTAAAGCGTAAGTAAAGTAAAACAATAATAAGAAAAGATTACATAAGAAATAATCCTCTCTTAGTTTATTTAATTTGAAGATTTTGCTCTTTGATTTAAAGATACTGGTATATTTCGTAATTGCCTCCCTCAAACCAATGTGGGTGATGAGTTTGGGCTCCATCAAGCTTGTCGTCGACATTGTGGGTATTTGTCTTGTGCCTCCCTCAAGTTGGTGGAGAGTGAACCGCAATACGGTTTAGCAATAAATTGAATGTTTCAGCACTAAGTCCCTTAGTTAACAAATTTGCGAGTTGATTGTATGGGGGAACAAAATTGAGAGCCAAGAGCTTTTGTTGAATGTGTTCTTTAATAAAAAGACAATCAAGCTCAATGTGTTTAGTTTGTTCATGAAAGACTAGATTGGATCCAATGTGTATTGTTGACCTATTACCAGATAATAAGGGAATATATTTTGTGACATAAAAGCCAAATCTTTTACAACATTGTGTAACCAAACCAATTCTGTAGTTGTCACTTCCATTGCTTGATATTCTGTTTTAGCTGATGATCTAGACACTATTTGCTGTTTTTTCTATTTCTAGCTAATGGGAGTGTCTCCCAAAAAAATAAGCATTCATAAAACTGAGTGCTTAGTAGTCAAACAAGTAGTTCAATCTGAGTCACAATACACCTTCAACTCAAGTGAGTTCATATTGGAATAAAAAAGGCAATGGTCAGTAGATTTCTTGATTATATCGAACCAATTTTTTTTCCATAGCAAAATAAAAAGCTCTTGGTGCCTGCATGAATTGGCTTAAGACATGTACAACATAAGAGATGTTCAGTCGAGTCACCTCAAATAGATTAGTCTCTCTACAAGTCCTTGATATGTAATCACATCCTTAAGTAATTCCCATCTCTCACTCGATAGATTATGTTGTTATGGGATTAGTGTTTGCACCACCTTTGCATCTTCAAGACCTACTTTTTTGAAAATATTTTCTACATATTTGTGTCGATTCATATAGATTCCATTTTGATTACTTCTAACCTCTAATCCAAAAAAAAATGCAAAAGTCTTAGGTCTTTTATTTTAAAACAAGTTTGAAAATATTTCTTAAATTTTGTACACTTATATCCATTCTTCCAAGCAAGTATAAGATCATCCATGTAGATTAATACTATTACGAAACATCCCTATTTAAAAGTGTGAATAGTGAGTGATCCTATGAGCTTTGTTTAAACCCATAATTGAGAAGAAAAATAGAAAGTTTTTCAAACCATTGTCATGGTACTTGTTTGAATACATACAAGGATTTATGTAGCTTGCAAACTCGTGAATCATTAGGAAATTCCATACCTTGAAGAGGTTTTGTGAATACTTTTTCATCAAGTTCCCCATGTAAAAAGGTATTGTCAACATCCATTTGATGTAGTTCTCATCCTTTAATTGCTAAAATAGCCAACAAGCATCACATTGTAATGGATTTAGTCGTTAGAGTAAAAAGGTTTCATTATAGTCAAGTCCCTTCACTTGACTGTAAACCTTTGCAACTAATCAAGCTTCATACCTTTCAATTGGTCTATCAACTCTTTGTTTAATTTTGAATACCCATTTGCTTCCAATTGGCTTTTTTCCTCTTGGTAAAGAAACTAGGCTCCATGTATTATTCAAAAGCAGAGCTTTTAGCTTTTTATTCATTGCTTCTTTCCACATAGGATTTTTGACAACATTTTCATAAGTGTTTGGCTTAAGAGTCACTTTTTCAAATCTTGTATTATTAGTAGAAGATATTATGGGATTTTTAGAAAAGAATGAATTTTGATAATCCTTACCATACAATCGGTTGATTGGAGTGGTAGACTTGGTTAAGGGTTTATAATCCTCTTACAAGTCATTACGTTATCTTTAAATCTTTGTGGCATTTTTCCTTCCCTTTATGGCCTTAAGTTCTCAACTATCACTTATCTTTCAATTGCTTCATTTTTTGTTTCAAGATCAAATTCTCTCATGTTTTCTTCCTCTATCCTGATTAAGTCCCCTAGATCTTCAAGTTGATCTTATGCATGTATCGATTTTTCAAGTTTAATCATGGTTGTTAATGATGGTATTTTTGTTGTTTTTGAAGGCTGTTTAAAAGGAAAAGAATCCTCATAAAATATGACATCTTGGGATTCAAAGAACTTTAAAGTATTGAGTTCCATTACGTTATAGCCCTTCTATCTCAAAACATAACCTAAGAATACATATTTTCTGAGTCTTGCAGTAAACTTATAATTTGGCTTGGGTTTAACATAGACATAATACAAACATCTAAACATTCTAAGATCATCATATGAGGGTTTTTCTTTAAATAAAAACTCATATGGGGATTTTCCATCAAGTATTGGTGTGGATAGAATATATATCATGTATGCTGCTATCATTAGACAATCTCCCCAATATCTTAAAGGTAGATTAGCTTGAAAATGAAGTGTTCTTGCAACTTCTAATATATACCTGTGCTTTCTTTCCACCACCCCATGTTGTTGAATGTGTGTGTGTGTAACTCTTTGTTGTAGAATTCCTTTTCCTAGGAGATTTCTTTTGAAATCACTATATTTGATCGCTTGGGCATTATCTAATTGAACTGATTTCACTTGCATACCAAATTGAGTTTACACCATTTTATAAAAATGATCAAACAAAGATGGAGCTTTACTTTTAGTTCTCATAAACCCAAGTACCTCCTGAATGATCATCAACAATAGTAAGAAACTAGTTAGCTCTAGTATGTGTGCTAAAGTCAGATGGTCCTCAAGTACCAACATGGACTATATCAAATAAGTTTCTTGAATTATTCCTACTAATAGGAAATGATAATTAAGTTTGTCTAGTCTTGTGATATGCATCAAATAAACCTTTTAATCTACTAATAGGAAAAGACTTTTATTCTCAAAAGAAACATCAAATAAACCTTTTAATCTATCTAGAAAATGGGATATGTCCTAACCTTTTATGTAGCAATTTTGGTTGATTTGTCAATTTGATAGCAGTTGCTTAAATCTTATTTCTTTCTTCATGCAGTCTGTTACAGTCAGTCGATTTTCTCTATATGTTTTACCATGATATCTTCTGAACTGAGTAAAGTACTAAACATAAAAGTTGTAGCCCTTCTTCTTAGCTTTCTATATGCATAAGAATTGTGTCAATTGGTGTTCTGGAGCATTATTTATGCTCAAAATATTGCAACATGTTGGGAGGCCAACTTAAGCAAAAGTGCATGATCTTTTGCAAATTTGACATCTAAGCTCTTTTTGCCCTTCACCAACATATAGCACAATTAATAAAAGGTACAAACAAGACTTAATAATATGAAAATAGACTCAAATTACTTAATTAAACTATTAAAGTATGCATAAAATAAATACTAAGAAAAATGTAAAAACAAAGCCTAAATTAGCTAACAACAAGAG